TTGAAAGCAACATTTTCTTTGAGAAACAATGAGGGTCCAATTCCTTGTTCTAGGAATTGCACTCCTGTGCACTATAATTCCTGGTTCATCTTCTTCTGTTAGCGATGTTGATGTCCTACTCTCGCTGAAGCAAGGATTTGAATCCCCTGAACCAGCTTTAAGCACTTGGAGTTCTTCAAACTCGAGCTCAGTTTGCTTGTGGTCCGGGATTAGATGCTCGAGGGGGCGCGTGGTTTCGCTCGAGCTGACGGATTTGAATTTGGGCGGCTCCGTCTCTCCTCTTGTTTCAAGGTTCAATAGCCTTGTCGAGCTCTCGCTCGCTGGGAACAATTTCAGTGGCACGATCGAGATCGCCAACTTGACTAGTTTGAAGTTCCTGAACATCTCCAACAACCAGTTCAGTGGGAACTTGGACTGGAACTTCTCTAGTATTGCGAATTTGAAAGTGTTCGATGCATATAATAACAACTTCACGGGTTTATTGCCAACGGGTGTTCTTGACTTGAAGAAAATCAGGTATCTGAGCCTCGGAGGCAACTACTTTCAGGGAAAAATCCCAGAAAGTTACGGGGAATTAGTGGTTCTGGAGTACTTGTCACTCGCGGGGAATGGGCTGAATGGAAAAATACCGAGCGAGTTGGGAAATTTGACAGAGCTCAGAGAGATTTACTTGGGCTACTACAATGTCTTTGAAGGGGGCATTCCTAGAGAATTTGGCAATCTGATAAATCTTGTTCACATGGATCTTTCCTCGTGTGAATTGGACGGCATGTTACCACCTGAGTTGGGGAATTTGAAGAAGCTATACACATTGTATCTACAATTCAATCTTCTCTCGGGTCTGATCCCGAAGCAAGTTGGCAACTTGACAAGCTTGGTGAATCTTGATCTCTCTTTCAATTCACTCACCGGAGAGATACCATCGGAGGTTGCGAGTCTCCGGAAGCTGAAACTTGTTAACCTCTTCTTGAACAAGCTACATGGGTCGATTCCTGAGTTCCTTGCGGACCTTCCGAACCTGGAAACTCTAAGCCTATGGACAAACAACTTCACTGGTGTGATTCCTGAGAATCTTGGCAGGAATGGGAAGCTTCAGGATCTCGATTTGTCCACCAACAAGCTCACTGGCACGATCCCTCGAGATTTGTGCTCACATAACCGGCTCAGGATCTTAATCCTGTTTGACAATTTCCTCTTTGGGCCGATCCCGGAAGCTCTAGGCTCATGCTCTAGCCTAGTTAAGGTGAGATTGGGGCAGAACTACTTGAATGGAAGCATTCCGAATGGCTTCATTTACTTGCCTCGGCTCAAACTCATGGAATTGCAGAACAACTACCTGTCAGGAGTTTTGCCAGAGAATGGCGACAGGTCGTCGAAGCCTGAGATGTTAAACGAGCTCAATTTATCGAACAATCTCCTTTCGGGTCCTCTTCCGTCTTCACTCTCGAACTTTTCTAACCTCCAAATCGTACTCATCAGTGGGAATCAATTTTCAGGTCCGCTCCCGGCTTTTATAGGGGGCTTGAGGCAGGTGGTTAAGCTCGACCTGAGGCAGAATTTCTTGTCAGGCGAGATTCCACCGGATATCGGGAACTGTTACCATCTCACGTACCTAGACATCAGCCAGAACAACCTCTCTGGTCCGATCCCGCTCACGATTTCCAAGATTCCTATCCTCAGTTACCTGAACATCTCTAGGAACCACTTAAACCAGAGCATACCCAAAAAGATTGGTACAATGCAGAGCCTCACGATTGCAGACTTCTCTTTCAACTATTTCTCGGGTAAAATACCTGAATCTGGGCAATTTGCCTTGTTCAACGCCTCTTCCTTCGTGGGCAATCCAGGGCTTTGTGGTTCTATCCTAGACATCAGATGCAATCTCACCACATTCACAAGCACATCCGCCAGAAGTCATTTCAATTTCAAGTTAATGTTCGCGGTCGGCCTATTGATATGCTCCCTAGCTTTCACCACGGTGGCCATAATCAAAGCCAGGTCTTTTAAAAGAAAGGCTGGCGCCGGTTCGTGGAAGATGACAACATTTCAGAAGCTCGAGTTCTCGGTGCAAGACGTCCTGGAATGCGTCAAAGACGGCAATGAGATAGGGAGAGGTGGAGCCGGGATCGTCTACCACGGAAAAATGCCAAACGGCACTGAGATCGCCGTCAAGAAACTCCTAGGATTTGGCACGACTAGCCATGACCGTGGCTTCCGAGCAGAAATCCAAACGCTCGGCAACATCCGGCATAGGAACATCGTGAGGCTCCTGGCATTCTGCTCGAACAAAGAAACCAATCTCCTCGTCTACGAGTACATGAAAAATGGGAGCCTAGGTGAGACGCTGCACGGGAAGAAAGGCGCGTTCCTAGGATGGAGCTTGAGGTACAAGATCGCGGTCGAAGCCGCAAAAGGCTTGTGCTACCTGCACCATGACTGCTGCCCACTGATCCTTCACCGAGACGTGAAGTCGAACAACATCCTGCTGAACTCCAGCTATGAGGCGCATGTCGCCGATTTCGGGCTGGCCAAGTTCTTGGCGGACAGTGGAGGGTCGGAGTGCATGTCAGCGATTGCGGGGTCCTACGGCTACATTGCCCCTGGTATGCCACGCTTAAAATCTTTCATTATCATTCGTTGATTGGCAATTCACTAGAGTATTCATTTTTACGGATCAACCACATTGACACTATCAGAACAATTCTCTGACCCAAAGTCTCTGCATAGTTAAAGTCTTGAGTTCTGAAATCTACGCAACATTTCTGGTATGTTTGACCCGAAGAAGAGAGGAAATGGAAATTGTCACTCAACAACACAGTCACTCAAAATCTTTAGTCAATGGTAGTACTTAGAGCGGGATCCATGGTCCAGTCAAATTCATGTAAATCGGAATCTAAGTGCGTCAACTTAGGTACCTGATGTATCATTAACGTTAAACAGAGCATTGAGTGCAGTGAAAGCAAACAGACATGCGCATTGCGCAATCCAACTCAATCCTTTAAAAAAGAACAATAATTTATGATTTTGGCTCCTTTTGCTTTTCTCTTCTTTATTTTTCCCTTTTTTTTGGCTTTTGTCGTGAATTAATTGACTCCCTTTTGCTTTATTGCTATGTGGGGTGTGGTTTCTTTAACTATAATCATACAGTTCACGACAAAAGATGAAGAAACATCAATGCGTGCCAATTCATGTTGATTCACTTCGGCAAGACTAGCAAAAAGCTTATCCAAGGTGGCCGTTTTCCATCTACTTAGACCCACCCAAATGGAGTGGAACTTTGACAACGTGCCTATTTGACATGATTATTATCATTCGTAGCGTTGAAAGCTTCGAAGAAAACACAGCACAACACAAAATAACATTAAAATCATCCCCACCAATGTTTCAAGGTCACTGACTGAACGTATTTCATAACCGAAAAATCCGTTCTTATCGCAGAGTATGCATACACCTTGCGGGTGGACGAGAAGAGCGACGTGTACAGCTTCGGGGTCGTGCTCCTAGAGCTCCTGACGGGGCGGCGGCCCGTGGGCGACTTCGGGGACGGGGTGGACATCGTCCAGTGGACGAAGATAGCCACCGCCAACTGGCGGAGAGAGGAGGCAACCCGCGTGGTGGACCCACGGCTGAGCCTCGTGCCGAAGGACGAGGCTGTGCACGTCTTCTTCGTCGCCATGCTGTGTGTCCAAGAGAACAGCACCGAGCGTCCCACGATGAGGGAGGTGGTTCAAATGCTATCGGAGTTCCCTCGTCACCCGCCGCAAGATCACTCCACCTCCTCCTCTTCCTCTACTTCTTCTTCTTCGGCCTTTGCCAAGAACTTCAAGAGCTAAAAAAGAATCTGTTCATCTAATTTAGAGTGTGAATGTGGGATTTTTGTATGACCAAGTGTGTGAGCTCTCAACATTATGAGTAACAACATTATGAGTAACAAGATCAAGTCTTCGTTTCTTTAATATAAGCTAAAGCGCTTTTTCTTTCCGCAGCTGTCAAGAGAAACCACAGGCAAAGCAAAAGGTGCGCTCAAGACTCATCGCATCACTCGCAAAGTAAACAAAGAAGAGATTTTCTTTCGACCAAAAGAAGAAAACAAAGAAGAGATCAGAGATCAGAGATCAGAGCAGATCTAGGAACATTCAGAGCAAACCATATTACTCTGCACTAATCCACCTTAATCCCCTCTTTCGAACTGAGTCTGGCAATTGCAATGACCAAAGTGACAGAAGCTACACATAGACATTGTCCTCCAAATCAGAATGTGGTCAAAGAGTGCCATCAAATGGCAGCCAACACATACACCAAGTCATCAGATCGAACCCCAGGAGAACACCATTTAGAATCATTCATCATCTATGCAATTTTAGCAGAGATGGGAAGAGCAGAGTCATGGATAAAATCTCCGAGGATGAGCTCCTAAACGAACACCATGAGGAATGTCAATTGTCGGTCCAAAGATATGTGGACCGACCATCGTCACTTTGATCACAAGGGGCCAAAAGCTCTAGGGACTATATCGAAAACTTCCCTCAATCATATGGAACTTTTATCCACTCATAAGGAATTTATCTTTCTAATTTACACCCGGGCATTGCAAGATTATACCAAATATTTCATCATAGTGTGCATATAGCGTTGGTCAATCTATAAAAGGTATAAGATAACGGCAATAATTATTAATAAAATCGTTTGTTCTATCCTGCAAAGTCCTAAAAATTGTAATTAAAGTGCAATCGAGCTCTTCAAACTTAAGTGATGGCTTTTTTTTTAATTTCGTGCAAATGGGTAATTCTGTTAAGCCCGTCTAATTTGAGTGACAAGCAACGTTGCATTTTCTAGTATTTTCTTTATGCCTTAAAAATACTCTTCAAGGGCTAAATTGGGGGAAAAAATCTATATGGGGTCTAAAATTTAGAAGAGGCTCCTCTTTAATTCTCAAATCAGCCCCCAAAAACAAGAAAGATTGGATAAATTGGTCCCTCATCTTCAAGTGAGGAGCAGAGGATCGCCATGTCCAATCTTCCTTTCAAGATGACAAGGAGGCGTGGGGCGTTGATGAGGCAGATCGTATGTTTCGATCCTCGGAGGGCGAGCTTGTCGGATGTTTTGGCTGCTTGGGGTGAGGATGATGAAGCCCGGTTAAAGCCGATTGGCTTGCGGTTCTGAAAGAATTGAAGAAGCTGAACCATCCTGCTCATCTTGAGGTACATAGAGTACCTCAAGTCGCACATATTCGAGATTCGCAGATATTTTCTTGTTCCTCTTGCGATGAATGAGCGAGATTCGGAGCGACCGAGGAAGAAGAACCAAGATGGTCGTATTTGGGCTCTCTCAAGTCGCAGATATTCGACAGGGAAGAGAGGAAGCAGTATGATCTCCCACTACTTTCTGCCTCCTCCAACGTTGGGTTTTCGTCCTCGTGCTCATGCACTTCTTATGTGCTATCTCGTTTCGTTTTTCTTTATTATCTTTTCCAGGCAATACCAAGCTCGCACCAGAGGTCTCAATGCGTACGACCGGCACAGGAAGTTGGTTGATGATTTACGGTGCGTGTGGCTTCTTTCTTGTCTCGCATCTCCCCTCTGATAGAATGGGAATTCCGCTTTTGTCTGTGGGTTGCTGAAATTTGCTGGGTAATGTCGTGTCCGCGGAAGTTCTCTGTGTACTAAGCTAGTTACAGCTCAAGTTTCAGTTCGTGGTGGGATTGGGTTAGCCGTATGCTTTCCTCTGGAGTTGGGACTACATGAAACGATGCACATTGAGAGCTATTGATGTGTGGTATCCCCGTGGTCCTATATGAATAAGATGATGAACAGTCCCCTCCAATTAGAAGGATGGGGGCTACTACAGTCATCCTCGTAGCCTCGTCTTCGATGTCGATGGAATTCCGACTGGCCTTCTATCCTTATTATCTACGATAATTATTTGTGAGGATTTAGTTGAGTGGTACTTAGTTGTCTGCTGAAGTTGGATGTCAACAAAGAGTGCAAATATCGAGCTCCTTATTTGTAGGTTCATGGTGTCCAACAGTAAAATGGATGAAGAATGGTCCTTTTTTGTGAAGGAGAAGGTGTCTACACTTATCCTCACATATTAATTCTTTTGGGTAGAGTTCATCTTAGGTTCTTATTTTCAGCAATGTTAATTCTTATGGTGATACGGGTGTTCGCCATATTCGAGCAATCCAATTTGTGGAGGTATGCTTGCTATTTCTTCGTAGGCAAAGTCCCAGCTTACCATCTTACGGGTTTTGCAGTTACTTTCTACGGCAAAGAAAGATCGGCACAAGCTAATTTGCCAGTAAAAACTGATCAAGATACTTTACGATAAGGCTACGGATATTTTCATCTTGTGTCCCTATACGTTTTACAGCAATTTGTATATGCAATATTTCTATTTTGAGCCAGAGGGCGCTAGTTATGCTTATTTCGTTTTGAAGCACTAATTATACCTTTATTGAGGACTATAACTTAAGAGAGAGGGCATATGATCAAAGCGAAATGCATCAATGTTGGCAGGCGTTCCATCCATGACTCATGGTTCTTAAATTTCGTTTTCCTCATCAGTGAATCAGAGGCTACATAGAACGTACCATTGTCGATGACTTTTACTGTATAAGTAAACCGTTTTTCTCCTTTCTTTCCTTTTTTTTTTGGGGATTTGATGCATACTGATGTTCACAAGCTTATGGTATCATTTGTGCAAGTCTTGTATGATGTTGTTATGCTATGTAGGTTAGATTGAATGAAGCGATGTTTTGAACTGCTACTGGTTCTTCCATTCGGTATCCCTTAACAGTTTGCTATGAATCATGAGCTATTAATTGGGAGTTTGCTCGGTTCATATGTATGGTCTTTTCAACTATCTTTGACATTTCTTCTCTTGCACTTCAGTGTATGCATTTATCGATTTCAACGCTCTTTATTATTGACACATGATTTTTAGCTCATTTTTTTTATATTTTCAAAAATCTCAAAATTAGGACTATGAATCTTGGCCAAGCCTAGAAACCTACTTCTAAACCAAAAATAATTTTTTTAGCATTTTCCTGCATTTTCCTTTAATTTCTTTTAGTCAAAATAAGTGAGAAAGTCAATAAAAATAGCAAATGGAATCATAAAATTCCATAAAAATAGTCATTAGTCTTATTTTAAATCCAATTTCATTAATGCATCATCAATTTTGAAAAATTTCAATCGGGTATGTGCTTTTCCCAAAATTGGGTAAAATCAAACCCGAATTGAACCAAAAATGCAATTAAATCTTTTCTAGTCATTTTTAAGTCATAGTGTCTTCACAACAAATGATTCTGGGACCTTGAATTACATAATGGTCGGTCCAATTGCACAATTTGTCAAAGAAATCAGAAAACCCCAAAATTCAATTAAAAATTAGACATTTTGAGTCCAAATTGGAAATCGTGCCCAATATGAAATTGTCGAACCATGAGATCATCATTTTTAGGGTTAATCAGATGTGGGTAATTCAATTTTGGCATCAATTTTTCCTAATCAGGTCATTAGGACATCGAATTGAACAAAACTCCAATAACCCGATTACAAAAAGTTAAAAATCTAGGACATGATTTTGTCAAAAATTGGGGAAAATTACATATTTGGGTTCAAAATGCGGTAAGGAATTCAATTTTGGGATTTAATTTTGAAAATTGGGTCAAAATTGAGCTTAATTTGCGAATTTAGACCAACCCAGGTTTGCCGAGTCGACCGGGTCAGCCCGACCCGACCCGGGTCGGTCTTCTTCCTTACCCGACTTACCCAAAGCATTACAAACCCAGAAAATTCAGCTCATGCCCACGACTTCACCGGCCTTAATCCCACCACAAACACGTGCGAAATACCGATTTAACAGATGGAGAATCTCCAGCCATCATCGGTTATTCATCATAACCGATTTGGAGGTCGGTTGTAACAAGAATTTGGTGGGAAATCAATGAACAAAAAGAAAAAAAACTGATCATTATGAATAGAAGGTGCTTGGTGAAATGCCACAAAGAGAGAGAGAAAAGAGAGGACGATCGCGAGAAGGAGAGAGAGAGCGAAAGACGTGAGTTGCGGCTCCCTGAACCGAGCGATTGGCGCTTTTCCGGCCGAAAAGCACCGACGAATCGGTTCAAGTGGTGAACCTTCTCACCTGGTGTAATAGCTATTATAAAATTATTTTTTTAAATGCTCAAACATTAGTTAATAGATAAGATAACAAAGGAATACATACAAGTAAAGTACATAAGAGACCTTGTCCATTAGATTAGACTTATGGATGCGTTTATCAAGGCAGACGGGCCATCGAACGACTACTGAGCAAAACTATAAAACAGTACCTACTCCCTGATTAATCAATACAAAACCTTATTTAAGAAACCACATACCAAATTAGTGGCATTTATTATTATTATTTTCAAGAACACATGATATTCAAACTTTTGACTTGTCAACCGGCTGATAGCCCTTGTGCTGAAAATTAAAGATTCAGCAATTAATGCTATTCAGCTTGTTAGATAACTCTAATTAGTTTAGACTTAAAAGATTCAATTAAGCTAGAATTTGACTTATCTAATACGTAAAAAAAGGGGGTCACCTAATTCATTTAGTAGAAGATGTAATTGGTGATAATTATAATCTTGTCAACTATATGGTTAGGACCTTCCAATCATGGTCGCAAATCTATATTTGGAAAGAAATTATAGATATCTAGTGATTGCCAAACAACTCTTTCTTTCTATTTTAACACTTAAAGATTATTAACACTTAAAGATGAGTTCTTAAGTTCTTAGCATTGATTCCTCAATATTATCAAATAGGCCTAAATGCACATAAATCAATACATTCATGTAGATCGAATAAGGCTATGAAAGAGTGGTCGGTGTGGCCTCCAATTCGAGATTACTTTGAACTGGAGACGTAATTTCAATTTAAGTCACCACTTTCTAAGTCATTACTTGCACTGCCTTTGAATGAATTTATCTGTGTGGAATGTTCACTTATGCTTCTAAGTCTATTCAAAATTCTCATGTTTCAAAGCATGCTCAAACAAGATTTAGTGAGTTCCAAAATAAATAATGAGGTATCGTCTGAAAAAGTAAGCAATCTGATACCACATTACTTAAAAGTACAATTGATAAAAGTAATTCCGTCCTTTGCCACAAACCTCTCTTTTCTTGGGGCAATAATGCCAAAGATGAAATTATGGCTTATTCCTTTTTCCTCATTGCTTTGTCCTTTTCCTCAACAATCTGATAAGCACATCATTATTCTTAAAGGCAAGAGTTCAGTGTGAAGTTGTAGGCCAAGACCATACTGATGCATCAACTTTCGCAACTTCTTTAGTTCATCATAGGAGATAGCCTCGATAGAACAGGCCTTTGATTCAAAATGAGTTTTGTCTGAATTTGGAAGCTTATCCTGATGCTGACCGTGACAAAGTGGACCACATTTGCCTTGTATAGCATCGACCACTTTACTATTCATAAGATGTATTTAGATTGGCCGTTACACAGTTAAATCATTGCACAAGAAACCTGTGCAATGAAGTCCATAGCAAAATGTGGACAACACTCGTTTTTGGTCTATTGCACCAAAAGTCGGAAGAAATGACCTTTATTGCTTTCTTTAAAGCTAAAGACGTTTCACTGAAGATACGGACATAAGAGCATCATACATTTTTTTCACATGAATTGCAAGAATTAGTTGCAAGCATATGCATATTTTGTGCTCAGAATCTACCATATAGTTTCGTTAGATGTGCATAGATGCAGATTGTAGAGTATCCTTCTGATCTCTACTTCTTTATTACTGCACATGGTAATACACATCGTGCTGATGCAGTTCCATGTTTTTCAGGATACGTTTGCTAGCAATGAAGTCATCAGCTCCATCATTCGTTTGTTGCTGCAGGAGCAAACGCCTGTAAACTGAACTTTGAAATGGCATCTCGTTAGTCTTCTCCTGTTCACAATTGGGCATATGATATGCCAAAATGCAAGTTCCAACCTATTGTGTGATGTTGACGATTATGATTCTCATTGATGTTGCTACTTGCCTGTGGAGTCTCTTGACATTGTGATCCGTGTAGTCTGGAGGTCAATGCATCTGATTTAAGCATATCATCGGAGCTCGATGTTAAGGGCGAAGTTAAGGTTTCCACGTCGTTTTTCAAGCATATGAAGTGAAGACACGTCTCCCAAGCACACGCGCCACAGATGTGATTGTGCGCATAATACCATATGAGCCTACATTATGATGCCTGCGTGGCTACAAATTATAGGACTCTAGTCTTTTGTAGATCTAAATGTAACACACATGTTATCGTCAGCATGTTTGGTCTAGTAGCCTTCACTTTTAGGTTCTTTTTTGAAGGTGAGGCTCTACAAATAAATCAGAGTTCTAAGGAAAATGTCGTTATCACTATAGTATTTATGATACTATTCCACTATATCAATCTATTGGGCCAAAGTACACTAGAAGTGCCATAACTTATGTACGGCGATCACTTTGGTGCCATAACTTTTTTTCGGATCACTTTGGTGCCAAGTCGGAGGAAAAGAGATCACTTAAGTGCCAATTTGGCCGGAAATCCGACGTGGCATTTTTTATTAATTTTTTACGCCGACGTGGCTCGCCGGAGGATGAGTCAGCATGTACAGTCAGCATTTTTTATTTTAAATAATTTTTTTCCAGCGTGTACAGTCAGCATTTTTTATTTTAAATAATTTTTTTCCTTTTTTTTTCCTTTTCTTTCCTTTTTCCTTTCTTTTTTTTTTCTTTTCTCCCCTCGCCGGCCGGTTGCCGGTGGCCGGGTCAGCCACCGGCGAAGCCCGGGAAGGGCTGGGAGAGGGCGGCCTTGCCCATGGCTGGCGAGGGGCGGCCTCGCCAGATCTGGGCGAGGCGACCCTCGCCGGCGACGGGCGAGGCCGTCCCTCGCCGGCCATGGGCGAGGCGGCCTTGCGAGATCCGGGCGAGGCGGCGCGAGGGCGGCCTCGCCGGCCATGGGCGAGGCGGCCTCGCCAGATCCGGGCGAGGTGACCCTCGCCGGTGGCGAGGCCGCCTCGCCGGCTATGGGCAAGGCCGCCCTGGCCCAGCCCTTCCCGGGCTCGCCAGATCTTGGCGAGGTGACCCTCGCCGGCGATAGGCGAGGCCGTCCCTTGCCGGCCATGGGCGAGGAGCGGCCTCGCCAGATCTGGGTAAGGCGACCCTCGCCGGCGACTGGCGAGGGGCGGCCTCGCTGGCCATGGGCGAGGGGCGGCCTCGCCAGATCTGGGCAAGGTGACCCTCACCGGTGACAGGCGAGGCCGCCCCTCGCCGGCCATGGGCAAGGCCGCCCTGGCCCAGCCCTTCCCGGGCTTCGCCGGTGGCCGGGCCGGCCACCGACAACCGGCCGGCGAAGGGAGAAAAGAAAAAAAAAGAAAGGAAAAAGGAAAAAAAAGGAAAAAAAAAGGAAAACATTTATTTAAAATAAAAAATGCTGATCGTACACGCTGAAAAAAATTATTTAAAATAAAAATGCTTGACTCAGAACGCCGACTCATCCTCCGGCGAGCCACGTCGGCGTAAAAAATTAATAAAAAATGCCACGTCGGATTTCCGGCCAAATTGGCACTTAAGTGATCTCTTTTCCTCCGACTTGGCATCAAATTGATCAAAAAAAAAGTTATGGCACCAAAGTGATTGCCGTACACAAGTTGTGGCACTTCTGGTGTACTTTTGCCCAATCTATTGTATCTTCAATTTATATCAGTCTTCTAACTCGCGTCTTTCTTTTTAGAATACTTTATTTGAATTGTTTTTCTATCATCTGACAAACTTCTTGTCCTTATGATCAGTCAAACTCCTTGATGAAATAGCAGCTAAATATTCTCTAAAAGAGTTATCGATATTTTCCTAACATACCATAATTTGGAACTGAAAATGTGGTAAACATTTCACAGTTTCAGCTCGTAGAATACCAAAGTCAATTTGCATTACGCACCCGTGATTGTCATTGAGAGTAGAGCTGCTATTTCCGTCATAGTGCGGCCTCTTTCACTTGAATTTGCCTATGCAATGCCACATGCATTAGATTCTCTGGTGTTAGTCATGATTTATAGTATTATACAAAGTGGGGAAAAAAATCTTCTACTTTTAAAGGATTTTAAATACCCTTGAACACTTATTTTGCAAATATTGATTTTGTGAGCAAATGTGTGAATTATAATTCTCTAATCTCTCGATCACATGTTTTATAATTGTAATCTAATTTTTCCTAGCCTCCTAAAAAAATTCAAATCTCGAAATATTTTTTTCCTAAATTCAAACCTTCCAAAAAAAATTTTATATAAATACGGAAATTTTCTCAAATTTTTCTTTAACTTTCCCCCTTCCTCTTGTCAAACTAGAATTTAGATCACGCCCTCTTTTTTTTTTTTGGAGGGGGGGTAGGGATTACTTTCAAGCACGCAAAAACAAAGCAAATGGTGGTTTTCAGTCGGTCTTCTTTGCGTTGAGCTTTTCCTTCGTCTTGCAACCGGCAATGGCAATGCACTTCAAAGCAGCAGAAATTCCAGCGCTTACGATGGGAGGAGCCGTCCAAACCTGGAAGATCGCGACGGTTTCCGGGAAAATTCTGAATTCTCCACGCCGGGCCTCATGCAAGACCAATACTTTCTTTTGATCGCGGATTGCTTCTTGGGATTTGGCTCGTAGTTTAAACCGACTTCAGTTTGTTTCCGGTGCCGTGATCTGTGCTTGATGTGAAGTCGAAGATTACGAGGATATTCTATTTTAACGTCCATGTTGTTCCCACGTCGGCGGCATTTGAAGCGAAGTCTCCTTTTTTGACATACAGTTAAGAGATGTTTGCTTTCGGATGGTTGAGGAGACATTCCCTTTATTGCTTTCTCCAAAAGAACTGAACTGATATGTCCGAGAAAAATGCATGTTTGTAGCATTCAAGAACATTGCACGTGAAATTTCCAGCACAATGGTAAGGAAAGGACGTTGGTTTGGCTGAAGTAGTTGGTTTGAACAAGTAATCATGGGAAAAAAGTAAACATTTGTTCTCTCTCTCTTTCAAACAGCGCAATAGGTATTATAGCTTAGTTACGTTACAATCGTAATAGCTATTACATCATAACCTTAACCATTACTGTGATCAAACCAAACGTGCAATAACAAATTTGTTTACAAGGAGGAATAGAGAAGCGGGTCGGAGGGAAAGTAGTGAACTTGCATCTCAAGATTACTCTAGCGACCTCCATGAACTAAAAACATGTGAATTAAAGTGAGAGCGAGTCTGATAGTAGCTTATTTCATGATGAATACTTTCCAAATAACGAGGGATGCGAGGAGGCTAGGCAAAATAGAAAGGAGCTTAGGGACAGAATAAAAATGAGGGAGCATGTAAAATAAGAGCATGAAGTCCAGATGGTGAGAAGGGTACAAAATCTGGTTTCTAAACTTCTGGTAAATGGGATTAATCATGACTTGCTTACATTCTGAACAAGCCAAGTCATACCGAGAGACCTATTGCTTGCTTTGTGCATGCCATTGACAAAACTTTGTTTACAAACTTGTCTAAGAGAATATTGGAAGTTTTGGAACAAATTCCTAAAGCATACGACACCTACTCGAAAAATAAAAAATGAAAGGGCTCGGCCAACACGGAACCAAAAGTTTAGGGGTTATATTGAAAAATTTCCTCAATCAGATCGAAATTTTTATTCCCTCGTAAGGAATTTATTTTTCTAATTTAGACCCAAGAGTTGCAAGATAGTATCAAAGGTCTCATCGTGGTGCACATATAGTGTCAGCAATTTTATAATTGATAAAATCCTAAAATACATGACACCTACTCAAAAGAATCAAAAGTATAAGGGCTCGGCTAACACAGAATCGAAAGTTGAGGGGGCTATATTGAAAATTTTCCCCAATAATATCCAACTTTATCCACACATAAGGAACTTATTGTTCCAATTTAGACCCAGGAGTGTTGACACATGAAATTTTGTCGACAATTCAATTTTTTTTCTTAAAAAAGAAAGAAAGAAAGACTAGCTAAAAACCAAATTACTCAATAAAAAGGCGGACCAGACCTTAAAACCAGCCAGTTCGGTCATCTGCCCATTTTTTTTTCTATTAGCCCATTTGGTAAGACCATTGGGCTGTCACTTAGACCCAATAAAAGGGGGCCCATCCTTCCTTTATTATTTTCTCTCAGCTTCGTCTAAAAAGGAGAAAAGTGCCAAAAAAATCCTAAACCTTTTGCATTAGTACCAATTTAGTCCTAAACCTTTTTTTTGTGCCAATTCAGTCCTAAACCTTTTGCATTGGTGCCAATTTAGTCCTAAACCTTTTTTTGGTGCCAATTAAGTCCTGAACCTTTTAAATTGGTGCCAATTCAGTCCTAAACCTTTTGTTTTTGTGCCAATTTTGTCCTTCCGACCAATTTTGACCGGAATTTCTCGACCAAGGCGAGGCTTGCCCTCGCCAATGGCCGGCAAGGTCGAGCTCACCGGCCTCTGGCCTTTAGCATGTCGCCGGACCGGCGACCGACCAGAGGAAGGAGAGAGAGAACAAAAAAAAAAGTGGAAAAAAAAGAAAAAAAGGAAAAAAAATAATAATTCAAAAAAATATTAAAATATTATTAAAGTTGTCCACGTCGGCGCCGGTGACCGGCCGCCGGCCGGCAGGCATCCACGTCGGCAAATTCTTGTCAAAATTGGCCGGAAGGACTAAATTGGCACAAAAACAAAAGGTTTAAGACTGAATTGACACCAATTTAAAAGGTTTAGGACTTAATTGGCACCAAAAAAAGGTTTAGGACTAAATTGGCACCAATGCAAAAGGTTTATGACTGAATTGACACCAAAAAAAGGTTTAGGACTAAATTGGCACTAATGCAAAAGGTTTAGGACTTTTTTGGCACTTTTCCCTCTAAAAGGGAAAAAACTTCAAAAGCTTTTCTTTTGATCATATTTATTAAGATGTAGCATTCTAATAAGAATACAAACTTAATTCACCATGCCATTCGTTTTTCCAAACTCTCTCGGCATCGACTGTGACTTTTTCGAGGGGTCGCGTTCTCTAGACTAGTAAGTATTGTAGAGGCCTGTAAGGCTTTCAAGACAACCCTTTATCATATATTTGTTAACATACAAAGAAGTGGGGTCAATACAATAAATAGTCTAAGTTACAAGGCACTTCGGCCCGAAAGAAAGTTAGAGAACCATCATAGCTACTCGAATTAAGCTTGCGAGGCTTTGAGTCATTAGGTAGGGACCTTGCATTACCAAGCGCAAATTTGATTCAATTTATTTGGGAAGTCAAAGATTACCTTGTCCATATTTTGGGGTAAACTTTGTGGGACTATGACAATGTTTTATTGGCCAATGCCACATCACCCAAATGATGTGGCTCCGCAGCGACGCTAAGGCAATGATGCATTTTGGAGTATTATGCCGTCATCGTTGTCACTGCTTCCATATCACTGCCTCCGCCCTTCAGATGTGACACTCCAGTTCCTTCCTTCCACGGCAAAGCTTGCTTTCTTGCTTGGTTTTGCCCGGTCGAAATCTCTCCATCTCGCTGTTACTTCGGACCGAGAGCACCGAGCGACGTGCATATCGTCTTGGGTCCCGAGCTCATGTCGACACCAGAACGAAAGTCGATAATCCTCGACATTCGATTATTGACCTGGGCGCAATTCCAACAATATGCGCACCACATCACTCTCTCCTACACGATACACGAAGTGTCGAATGCTTGTGAAGATTTTTCTTCTTAAGAGGAAGATATGCACATCTTCAAAGACTTGAGAGATTGACTTGAAGGAAACTCCAAAAGGGATATCTTTATTGTATGAAAAGAAAAGCTGAAAGAGAATTTTAATCTTGAATTTTCTTTCAAAAGGTTTCGTGAAAATTCATATACATTCTTCAGATAAACATATGATTTAATCCTAACTAATCGATAGTGTCATTATTTAAAGTGGATAAGATAGTTCGATGTTTATTTATAAAATGTCTCATGCTTTTTATATCCTAATCTTTCCAATTTTACAGAATTCGAGTTCGAAATTTCAAAATAGATCACATACTCATATTTTTGAATTAGAAATAACATGTTAGGTCTACGTGGTGAGTTCGTTACAATTATATTCCTAATGGCCTCCTTTTGCGGATTAGATGAAGGGAAGTGAGGGTGGGTTGAGTTGTGGCTTTCATTATCAAATTCTTGTTTTAAGCCTAAAAGATTAACATTATTCACAGGGAAGTGAACTTTTAGACACTCTTGGAGACTCTATTGATTGAATAAGGTCTTTCAAAAATAGAGAAGATTATCTCGACGCACTTCAAATTCCGTCACCTCAAAAAGGCAAAGAATCCTCCTTGAATTCCTCCCAGCCGTCTTTAGTTTCTCTGCGCGCTCTTCTTCGTACAGAAAAAAGAGACAGATTCTTCCTTTTGTCTAAGTTGCTGTTCGGTGTAAGCACGTCGCTCCCCAAGTGATCACCGTTCAATGTCTCTTAGGTATACAGCTTTTGATTGACCAGACTCAAAAGTAACTTTTCTGTGGGCTGAGTTTGTTTTCTTTGGTGAGTTTTGCAGGGAAGCAACAATGATCAATGCTGCTGAAACGGGGCTTCCAGTTCGACTTGAGGTCTGTGTCTCCGTGCGCTCGTTTGTCTTGTTTTACAGTTTTATTAGGAAAACTGGTACATGGGTATTATCTTGATCGATGCCCTCCGCCTGTTTGATGACATGTTGGAGTCAATGTACCAAATTGTTTTTCAGGGGAAGTTTAAGGCAATGGTGTTCTGTTGGGTGCTTGGACTTGGGTCTCTTGTGGCTTGGAACAGTATTCTGACCATTGGAGATTATTACTATAAAGTGTTCCCGGTAATCAATTGCGGATTATTCCCAACTTCCCACGTTCTTTTAAAGTTAATACCCCGATCGCTCTGTTTTGTGATCTATATTTATTGAACTTTTTGTTCTCTTTAGCTGTCTGATTTGATTTGGAAGAGTCTTGACTCTGTTTGAGTTCCGAGAATTGTAGTTCTATAATTGTTTATTCAACACTGTCTGACTACAAAACAGGTGTGTCTAGAGAATTTTGCTAATCAAGTTGATTTGTTGTATCGTGATTTCACCATTGTCATCATGGCCAAGGTTCATCTTCTTGATCCCTTGAGTCGTAGCAATAAGAGTTTGTTGCTATATGGTTGATATAACCATCACTATGCTGGGTGACATCCGGATGGGTAATTAACACAATCATCTTACAAGTGCTATTTTAGGACTAGCAAACTATTTACTTGTCTTTTTGATATCTCTTCTGCTAATTATTTCGTTTTGTAATTTGCTTAGTGTAATATGAAGTCATAGGTTGATTGCGCTATTCTAACTACATGTTTTGTGTTGGCTGAAGCATTATCATCCTTCGAGAGTGCTTACAGTTGTTTATCAACCATTCGCAATTGGGACGATGGCTATCTTAGTGTACCATGAATCCAGAGTTGACACAAGAAAGAGGAATATAGTTGGATACGCTCTTTTCACTCTAAGTACACTCTTTCTCATAGTTGTAAGTTGTCCGAAGGCATAAATCTTTCTATTCATGGTGATCCTACTTGTGCAATTATCTAATTCAAGTTATTTTCCATGAATTCTGGTATCTTACATTAACTCCATTGCTGGATTTCATACATGATAGTTGGACTTAGCCACGTCAGGGAAAGGGGGAATTGGGCTTTATTTCGGTATATGTGTGCTTGTTGCCTGTTTTGGAGTGGCCAATGCTCAAGTTCAGGGTGGTATGGTCGGCGATCTGTCTTTCATGTGTCCTCAATTCATGCAGGTGGGCAATCTCCTACTGTTTTATTGCATTCTTTCTGCAAATTATTCCCTTAAAGATACATCTTTTCAAGTTGGATCTTGGTCTTTCTACCACAAATTATGGAGGATTTTCATTTATGCAGTCGTATTTCGCTGGTTCAGCTGCATCAGGAGCACTAACATCTGCTTTGAGGTTGATGACAAAGGCAGCCTTTGACAAGACTCATGACGGTCTTCGCAAGGGAGCTAGTATGTAATTCTTTGTCGTCACTAGAAAATCTTTATCAATTTGTAAATTCATCCCGTCATGTAGAAGTCTTGTTGTTTGTGGAATTTTAACACTCGAGCAAGTCTAGTTTGACTTGATAGCATCTGTGATCACGTGCTTATAGCATGTAATCCTTAAGGACTTAGGCTTTATGTCATACCATGGTTTATCTCATTTTTTAAGGAATTATCAATAAGTAGGTAAAACCCACTTTCCTATGTTGTGCCTTGACTATACACAGAGGAAACTCATGGTGCAATAATCAGCTTTGTCAAGTGAAAGCAATATGCAGAATTCTTCTCATCAATCTTCAATTTATTTTTCAGTGTTGTTTCTGGCAATCTCTACGTTCTTTGAGTTTATATGCATCATTCTGTATGCTACTTGGTTCGCTAAGATTCCAGTTGTGAAATCCTGCCGCTCCAAGGCGGCCTCGGAAGGGTGTAAATCTGTGTCGGCTGACCTTGCTGCAGCTGGAATTCAAAGACAGGTGCATCATAGCGGTGAAACTTTCTCTGTTGTAGTTGTAAAATTTGTGTTCCTTTCAATGTATCTGAAACCTTGAAAATTTTGAAATTTTGGCAGGATGAAGGCTCTAAAGATGATCGATTGAGCAACAAACAATTGTTGTTTCAAAATATAGATTATGCCATTGGTCTATATCTTACACATGTTTTGACATTGACAATCTTCCCGGGCTTTCTCTATGAGAACACGGGAACACACCAATTGAGATCATGGTGAGTACTAGTAACAGAGGCCGATTTCTCTAACACTTCTCATAATGAATGTCGCCCTCTGCAAAGGTTTGTGTACTCACTAGAATCTTGCTTCATCACTTCCGTTTCAGGTACTCACTAGTTTTGATTGCTATTTACAATGTATGGGATTTCATAGCTCAGTACATTCCCCTTATCAGTTGGCTCAAGTTAGAGTCCCGAAAGGGCCTCATGTTAGCGACTCTTGCCCGTTTCCTTTTTGTCCCTGCATTCTATTTCACAGCAAAGTATGGTGATCAGGGGTGGATGATAATGCTCGTTTCTTTCTTGGGCTTGACCCATGGTTATCTTACTGTCTCTGTTATGACAGTAGCACCCAAGGGCTACAAGGTTTGACCCGAACTTTATCTCTTTTGAGTTGTGTTCATTTTAGCACAATTTCTTCTTACAATTCAAAATGGGTCGAGCTCTTTTTTCAGGGACCGGAGCAAAATACCTTGGGCAACTTGCTTGTGTTGTTTCTCTTGGGTGGGACATTTACGGGAGTTGCTCTAGGCTGGTTGTGGATGATAGGCAATGGCAAGTTTTAGAGAGCTGTCATCACTTTCATGAGGATGACTTTCGTTAGGGAAGGAAATGATCTCACTTGAGGTTCTTTCGATTCACATATATTGAAAAGGACACATTCAGTTGTTAGGCTAAGTACAAGTCACATTTCCCTTTCTCTATATATAAATGCCCATTAATTTTGCAAGTAGAATGCAATGGTATTTTATTTGAATTTATCAATTATAGTAAATGTTTCGTTACGGCGACAATGCTGCTTGTACTTTCACACTCAAACCTCTGGGAGGAAAACCCTATAGCTTCACTACATTGAAGTATTTATCTTCTTCTTTTTTTGTCATTATATAGTATTTATCTTTGAAAAGCCTCACTTGGGGTATATTTCAAATCTTATAGCTGCTTTGAACTTTAGTACAAGTCGCCTAGAACACTCTTCAATTGGATGCGATATGTATGACCGCCTTTTCAGCCTTCCTAGTTCTCCTACAGCTCAGATGAATCGATCATGCACAGAAAAAGCTTGACTTCTAGCTTATTTGTCAAAGTGCAACATGCTCCCATCTTTGTGCCTCCCACTCTGGTTTTGGCCCGCCTCTAGCTCAGTTCATTTGATTAGCGATGTATTTCATGGTCGAAAGTAAGGAAAAAAAGTTTGTACATATCGCTGTTACTTCGCAGCCAAACACACCTTACCTTTAGTTGAGAAAAATCAGCAGCGGCTGAAGCTCGATCGGCCTCGGACTCCGACTCCTGACTTGAAGCTCCTAATCTTCCGACTGCTGCAAGGAAACCAGGACTCTGGTTATCTTTCATTCCCATCGTCATTGTCTCCGATGACTTCTCCCTCCGATTTGATCGTCCGTTCAACAAGGTCTGTTGTTGCTGCTTTTCTTCAGGGTATTATTGGTTATGCTCTGTTTCCGTTACTTATGTACGCGAGACTGAGGCCGAGAACTCTAGTTGTGTTTTACGTGAAAATAGTCACCAATTGAGGATCTATTGTCGATTTGACCCTCCTTTGCTGATATTGTGGTCGTATGGTTTTCAATCGCTGCTTCGCTCTGCCGTCTCGATCACTAAACTGAGTTGCCTGCCATATGTTTGTTGAAATGCCTGAGCATGTTCATGTGTTTGAAGTTTGTGTTCGCTGGTTGTGTGAATTTTTACCTGTAAACTGTTTGTATGATATATGAGCGTAAGGTTCGAAACACTCTGCATTGCTTATTTCACTAAATGAAAGTTGAGTTTGAAGTCGACGTCGCTATTTGCTTGGAAAGTGATCGGGATTGAAACTACTTTTCACTGATATGAATTAAACCTTTTCTAGAAGCATCTGGATTGAAACGTTGCATTAATATTGCGTATAAAATCATTTTCCGAGATGCTCGCCATTTGTTTGACGAAATGCATCTGTCAGATTTGTGATTGTTTGCTTTATGTTATTGATCGTTTGGAAAGCAATCCGTCGTGTCTCAGATGATTTTTGTTCAAAAAAATAAAGTAACTACGTGTAATGTTTGCTAGTCCATTTCCTGTCAATCGATATTTTCCTTCACTTATTGGTGCTGCAATACTATCTGTATGTGTGAAGACTAGGTTGCGTAAGCTCATAAATAATAGATGATATTCCATGCTTACATGGGGAAGAGGAAGTGAGTGAAAAACTTTAGCATGGACCACCGGCACCCCAAAAGGACAAAACATGCAAATTCCCAAGAAATTGAGTTTGTCAAGTACCCTTTTGTTTTTTCTAGTTTATGGAGGCAAAAGTCCACCAAGTGCGAATAATTCTATCAAACACTTCTCGTGCCATCATTACGAAGCATATTTCAACATACCTAGAAGAGAATGCGTGACCCAAAGCGACCTTGAGATGCTTGAATTGAGCTTGCAAATTTGATGTGAGATTTCTCAAGTCACTTGAAACAGTAAAAAACTGAGCATTAAACATGACTCAAACGAAATGATTATACTTTTTTTCTCAGGAAGAGCGGTGAAGCCCTTACACTAGCCAAAATAATTCTCAGAGAACGAAGAATCATGTAGTACAATTGAGCAATCACATCAATAAAACTAACGTTAGCCACTCGAGAAAACATAGATTGCGCCCTGTTGTTTCCCTTTCGGCCTCACCACAGAGGTCCTCCCAAATTCGAATGTCCCTCTTGCACTTCTGCTGCCTAAACTTGGTTCCAGACCACAAGTGAGGACTCACAAAAGGCAAAGCATGTGAATGAACGGGATAACAAACTAAGAAATGCAAATATGAGTTATAGGTCATAATTGAACAGGTTTAAAAAGACAAAGCAGATCTCACGGACTGATGGGGATAGCTAATCTTTTGTGGTTCAAGAGCGAAAGTGCACAGAATAGTTTGTAGTGCAGTTAAGTGCAATGGCTTCTATGCACAAAGCTTGGGAAGATATTGAGTATTTATAATCAAGCGGGGGGTGGTGTGGAAAAAGGAATAGAACCTATGAATATGCTTTGCCATTGTATTTGAGGTGAAGAGTGTGTGCGCACCCCAGCTACACACATCCACAGCTCTTTTGCATTTGCTTAATCATGAATCTCAATATGTGGGCTTTGATGTTTAACTCTTTTCTTTGAATAAAATTCGTTTTCGAAAAAAAAATAAAATAGCTCGACCGTACAGTTAATTATCAAAGGACGGTTGGCCTCCCTGAGGATAACTAGGATGTGATGCATTAGAAATTAGAGATCGACCTTGATGTATTTGCATAATTTGCTAATATTCCTTGCATTAATTAAAACGTGGAAAAGTTAATGTCTGCAAAATACATAAAAGATCAACGGTCAACACTTTTATGGTCAGTATCCTAAGTTAAGTTACGTTGTCCAGTTGTGCTAAGCAATGGTCGTATGATTTCTGGTGTACAGGCAATTGGGTTTTTCGGTCTCTTTCTTGGTTGAGTCCTCTAATTTTCTTGACGTGTGCAATTGAGTCCTTTAGTTCTTTCCAAATGTGCAAGTCCTTTCGTCCATGGAACAAAAGGCAATGCTACTAATTTATTTTACTCGGATTGTTATGTAACACGACTTTGATGGTTGTTGATTAGAGGGTGATTTCAACTTTCAAGCACAAGATAAAAAGACTTCATTGACATGTCCAATGAGAATGGAGATCCTCTGCCCTGTAATTTTATTGGTGTATTAATCAATTATCAACTGGCAAGGTATATAAATGATTTTTGTATTAATGGTTGCGACACTTTTTTTTTGTCATAAAAGGCATAACTTTCATTAATAATCGAAACATAAATCAAACGAGGGTTCAAAGTCGAAACATAACAAGACCAAAGAGACTGGGGAGGCCTACCAAGCCAATTCGGGCAAAGAGAGTCAATCCAATTGCGCGTCTCGATTGGCATCCCTGGCTATGTGGAGCAGAGAATTCACATTTGTCCAATAAGATTTCACCATGGTTCGACTATTTTTCAATTCCCATAACGCCATAAAGAATTGGCAATAAGATTGATAACTTTAATTAACTATAAAGAATTATATTTAAGTTGGCATGGGGAAAGCAAAAAAAAAGGGGGATTACACACCCGATAAAGGTCAATTTTTTTATGCTTTGATCACACACCCATCTGAAGCTTCTCCTCAAGCCCAGCAACATACAAGCACTTTGTCTAAACACTTGTGACCTATGTTTGAAAGCAACATTTTCTTTGAGAAACAATGAGGGTCCAATTCCTTGTTCTAGGAATTGCACTCCCGTGCACTATAATTCCTGGATCATCTTCTTCTGTAAGCGATGTTGATGTCCTACTCTTGCTGAAGCAAGGATTCCAGTCCCCCGAACCGGCTTTAAGCACTTGGGAGTTCTTCAAACTCAAGCTCAGTTGGTTTATGGTCCGGGATTAGATGCTCGAGGGTATGCGTGGTTTCGCTCGAGCTGACAGATTTGAATCGTCGCCATGCTGTGCGTCCAAGAGAACAGCACCGAGCGTCCCACGATGAGGGAGGTGGTTCAAATGCTCTCGGAGTTCCCTCGTCAACAGCCTCAAGATCACTCCACCTCCTCTTCTTGCTCTACTTCTTCTTCAGCAGCCTTTGCCAAGAACTTCACGAGCTAAAAAGAAAGTATATGTTCATCTAATTTAGAGTGTGAATGTGGGATTTTTGTATAACCAAGTGTGTGAGCTCTCAACATTACGAGTAACAAGATCAAGTCTTCGTTTCTTTTGCTTTTCGGACAGATCTCCGAACATTGAGAGTAAACCATATTACTCTGCACTAATTATGTGAGCTCTCAACATTATGAGTAACAAGATCCAGTCTTCGTTTCTTTTACTTTTTGGACAGATCTCCGAACATTGAGAGTATACCATATTTCTCTGCACTAATCCACCTTAATCCCTTTTTTTTCGAACTGAGTCAGGCAATTGCAATGGCCAAAGTAACAGAAGCTGTACACAGAACTCCGTCCTCCAGATCAGAATGTGGTCAAAGAGTGCCATCAAATGGCAGCCAATACATTCACCAAATCATCAGATCAAACCCCAGGAGAACACCATTTAGAATCATTCATAGTCTATGCAACTTTAGCAGAGATGGGAAGAGCAGAGTCATGTATGAACTCTCCAAGGATGAGCTCCTGAACGAACACCATGAGGAACGTCAATTGTCGGTCCAAAGATATGTGGACCGATCAACGTCAATTTGATCACAAGGGGCCAAAAGCTCTAGGGGCTATATTGAAAACTTCCCTCAATTATATGGAACTTTTATCCGCTCGTAAGGAATTTATCTTTCTAATGTACGCCCGGGCGTTGCAATATTGTACCAAATATTTCATCAGAGTGCACATATAGCGTCGGTCAACGGATAAAAAGGTATAAGAAAACGGCAATAATTATTGATAAATCGTTTCTTCTATCCTATGGAGTCCTAAAAATTGTAATTAAAGTGCAATTAAGCTCTTCAAATTTATAAATCTGATAATTAAGTTATAAATTTTTTTTATTCCGTGTAAATGGGTAATAATTCTGTTAAGCCCGTCTAATTGAAGTGACAAAAAACGCTAAACGTGACAATTTTTTAGTAACTTTTTGTGCCTTGAAAACCTTCTCTTCAAGGGCTAAATTGGGGGGGGGGGGGTGGGGGTGTGAAAATCTATATGGGGTCTAAAATTTAGAAGAGGCACCTCTCTTATTCTCAAATCAGCCCCCAAAAAACAAGAAAGATTGGATAAATTGGTCCCTCATCTTCAAGTGAGGAGCAGAGGATCGTCGTATCCCAATCTTCCGTT